CGCCGCCGGGTCCCCGCAGACGGCCGGTGCCGAGCGTCCCTCCGTAAGCTACAGCCCCTGTCCCGCTGCACGGTTCTCCCGGCCTCGCACCGCCACCCGCACCCGGCCGCGGAGCAGGCCCCGTCCCCCCGGCGCGGCCTAATGACGAGGGGGGCGAAGGCGGCGGAGCGGCAACAGGGAGGGCGCAGCCCCCGCTCCCTCCACATCCTACAGGTGTGCCCCCCGCACGTGAGGCAGCCAAGGGGCGGAGGGCACGGCCTCCGTCAGCTTTTCCACCCTATTTGTACGGGAGGGGCCCCGAGCACCCTCCGCCCCCGGAGCGGCTGGGGGAGACCGCATCCCCACAGAGGTGGGCAGGAACCCGCAGGCAGCAAGGTTAAACATACCAGACGGGCAAAGAAGAGTACGGTGACGTTACAGGTTTATGTACAGCTTTACTTTGGTCCGCTTCTACAGGTACATCGTGAAAGTCTTAATACTAAAGAACGTGATTATCCTACACTTCTGTCCTGCGCTTTTAGTGTTTTCTTCTGTTCATGCTGCTTCTTTGCCTATTCGCTATCCCAGATTCAGGTCCTGCTTTTTTTTAAAAAAAAAACAACAAACAAAACCAACAACAAACAAAACCACCTCCCCCCAAACCCCCAGCTTACAAATGCATCACATTAGGCAGCTTTAAATAAAGATACTACTTTTACAGGTCTACTAAATCACTTTACTTCCCTGAGTACTAGACGAAATAAAGAATGCTGAGGATTAAAATTAACCAGGAAGGTGAAAGAATTGCTTTCTGCAAGGCTCAAAAGAGCCAGTTCTGATAAGAGTAAGCATGCTTATTTAAATTAAAAGAATAAATAAATAAATTCAAACTCTCAGAGGGTGAAAGAGTAGAAGTCCCTTTCCAGTTTAATCATTTTCCCTCCTACTGGCTCTTTGGAACCTGTCTGTATGTATCAAATTAGGAAATACAAAACAGCATTTGCATCGCTTACAAAACAAAGTGTTAGGGTTCCTAGGGCCAGGAATTCCCCCTCGGATACAGAGACATAGAGGCCAGAACCTTCTCCCAGTTTTTAAGGATCACCATGAACATGTAGTGCATAAGTACAGAATGACAGACAATAGAGCATTTGCAAAGGGTGAGAAAGAAAACCATCTTTTAAAATTTGAGCCTCAATTAGAAATACAAACCTACCAGCCTAATTTTAGCTGTTCAAACTTAATAAAAACTCTGATGTTCACTGAAGAGCTGTTATACCAGTATTTGTTCCTGTATTGGGGGCCGCACTCCATAGAACACTGATCACAAGCAGCCTCTGAAGAATGCATTCCGTTTATGGGTAATACAAAAATACCAGTTGACTTACTCTCTTTTAACAAAGTTGCCCCTAAAAGGTGAGATACACAAAGCCACCTCGAAGTTTCACCACTAAACACAACTCTGTTCATCCTTTAGAAATCAACTTAAAGAACTCAGATAAACACGTACCTTGAATTTACAAAATTCTACTGTATCGTAATAAGGACTATGATCTAAATAAAGAAAATTCGTGGGGCAAGTACGATACAAACTAGGTTATTCTTGGAACTTCATATAGCAGTTTTAAGGAAAAAAAAAAGTATTTCTCTATTCTGAAAGTTCTAGATACCAAAATGATGTGATGGTAAATACACCTTTTGGCACAAAACGTCAATGACGTTGGAGAAGTGGGTCTCACTAACCGCTGGTAAGCAGCGTGTGGGATTCCCTTTTCCATTACTTCACTTCCATTTGTACAAGCAGTTCTAGCATGAATGACTGATATTGCAGCTGCACTAACAGGTTTTTTTCCCCAAAAACCTTTCCAGATGCTACTACCAGCCCAATCTACTGGAAAACTAATTCACAAACTTGCTATTTGAGTTAAAATGAGTTGAGTTAGAATAAATCTAATATTCTAACATACCTCCTATTAACCGACGAGATCAGGAATCACGAAGTCTTAGCAAGTGTGTGAAAAGGAACCAGCAGAGCAGAGGGAGGAAACCCATAGCAGGGAGTGGGAAATGAGCGGAGATCACCGAGTGCCTGGGTTGGACTGAAGGCAGCGATGGTGGCACTTCCACCAGCACAGCTCCATGGAAAAGGAGGATAAGAGCTGAGAGGTGCTGTGCGTTCTCATAGTTGATTCATGGCAGCCAAGAACTTACACATTTTTTCCTGGAAAAATTTTCTGCTACCTTCTACGCAAGAATTGTTTCTTGTCAGTAACAGCCACCTCAAACATTTTGAAAACAAGCGATGTACTGCAATTACCAAAAACTGATAAGGTTTAATCAATGTGAAGTCTAACATTAAAGCACTTAAAAGTTTAAATATGGAAGAACAACGGAAATGTAGCAAAAAGGTCTGGAATGTGAGAATCCTGCACCTCAAGCTTTCCACGCATAAAGAAAACAGAACAAGTGTTTTGTTTGTTTTTCTATTTTATAAAGAAAACACACAAAAACCCTTAGGCCCAAGAGTTCACCTGCATTTCATATTCTTAAGTTTACAGTATAGAAGTCACATTAATGATGATAGTACTACCTGTCAGCAGAGACCCTTTCTTCACCAGCACCAATACGCCTTTTCAATTGGCAAATACACTTTTTTCGCTTGGAACTGATTCTAGTTGCATGTTTTCCGTAACGGAAGTACAGAACATTTAACATCTGTACTAATGCGAGTTGTGAAGTTTTTAGCCGAGTGACCGTCGTTACTCTTGCGACGCGATGCTAGCATCCGCCAGATTTTTATAGTGTATAGTATTATTTATAAGCTTGTTACTATTGTGTATGATTTCATACAGCATTGGAGATGTTTGAAATCTGTTCTTGAATGTTGTATGACCTAGGTAGTATTCCATTGCAGCACCCATAACAATAATACTCAACATACTGCTATTAACCTGTTGCGCAGTGTTTTAACTTTTTTTTTTTTAACTCTTGTTATATGTAATAAAATACCAGTAAAGACAAAAAATTGCCCCTATAATGAGGCACATTTTGGCATCTGTGCTAAATGCTGCTACATGGGCAGGCAAGTGCAAGTCAAAATATGAAAAGGAGAAAGTCATCATCTAATCACATTCATAACTTTTTCATAGAAAAATATAAATATATTCCCTGAAATGTAGGACAAAGAAGAGCCAGCATCCATCATGAGTTCTAGTGCTATTACCATAAAAAAAAAAAGTGGTCTGGCTTTTCCTTTTAAGGTTACGTTTCACAATCTACATCATCTAAACCTCTGTCATCGTCGTCATCGTCACAATCGTCGTATCTCACAGTCCGTCTACCTCCGTTCCGAGTTCTTATCTTAGAACGCCGATTAGCTCGCCTGTATTTGGTGTAATCCAAATCTTCCGAGTCATTTTCTTGGTTAGGTTTCCGACGTTTCCTTCGCTGGGGTCTTCTGGAAGGCTTAGGTGAGCTGGAATTGGTAATTTCTTTTCTAACCATTTCTGATTTCCTTTTCCTCTTTCTTGTTTCTGTGGCATCACTATAGACACTGTTATCAGTTCCAGAGCCTGAATCAGAAGAACAATTGAAACTGGCTTTTGAACTTCCAGCAGTCCCAGGTGCTTCCACATTCTCCGATATCGAGCTTTTTTCATCTTTCTTCCCCCCAGTTTCAGATTCTGCTGTTTCTTTGAAGTCATCCAATAATTTTGATCTTCTGAAAGAAGCTCTAGATTTTTTATTTGATACTTGTCTGATATTTTTAGTTTCATGTTTAGCTAAGTCAGAATCTACCTCTGCTTCAGAGTTGCTCGTACGGTGGTTGTGTGCTGAAGCTGACTGACTAGAACTTCCCCACTTTCTCCCATTTTCCATCTTGTGGTTTGTGGAATTCTCCTCTTCAGAGTCGTATTCAAAATTTTTAAGAGCTGCAGCAGAGACTGGTTTGTGTGCCCGCTTGTGGTTATCTTCATTCTGCTTTTGAGTCACTTTTAACTCTGCCTCAGATTCTGTTTTTTCATTCTCAGACTCACTAATATATTTTCTTTTAGGAGCAGATGATTCAGGGCAGGAAAGTTTTTTTCTGCCAGAAAGCTGTTCTTTCTCATTTTCAGACTTTAAGCAGGCATCTGTCTCTGAGCTGCCGATGAGTTTCTTCCTGGATGCTGCAGACATGTTGCCGTGAAGCTGCCTTCTGTTCTTTTTTACTATGTAAACGCTTTCCGAGCTTGATAATTCTTCCTTTGTATCACTCATTATCTTAATCTTATTAGCTGCCAAAGTGGCACATCGGCGTGGATTCTTCTTCTCAGTCACATTAGACAGTTTTATGTGTTTCTTGTAGTTAATGATACATGTCCTGCTCCTGAGCACTTTTGCACTTTGTCCAGTCTCCTCAGATGTTGATTCTACAAAATAAAGATTTAAAAGTTCTTTTTAATAACTTACAGTCCTGAAATAGTTTATTAAGCAGAAATACTGCCACCTTTAATAAAACACAAGAAAGTTAGGGTTTTTTTGGTTAATTTCAACTGTTGTATGTAATTTACCCTTAACCCTTTACTAAAAATACAGTCAGACAGTTCCAGGCATACTTTTAACTCTCAGGGTTACTCTTTTGCTTTGAGATAACGAGAGGGTTTAAAAGTAACATTCTTCAGCATCGCTCTAGTAATTAGCTTTGACATTACAAATTACTTAACTTAGCAAACAAATGCTTTCATATTGCTAATACTTCTATCATTAGAAACTATCATTTTCTTACTAGAATGAACTTTCTATTCTATTTCTTTCTAGAAGCCTTTTTATTCTAAAAAAAGTATTATATTTCATGTAGACACAAGCCTCAGATGGATTTCACAATTTTAGAACTGTTTCACATACACAGGGAACATTTAAACCATCCAGTTCCTTAGCAACTTAAACAGTAAGATTGCTTCTAACAGTGAATCTTCCATTCAGTATATTTATTTTTAATACAGACCTTGTTTGTTATGTTAGGTTTTAAAACAAATATTCAATCTGTAAATAAGGTGAACAATGCTATGAAGATCAAGGCTGTAAAACTTTTACCTTCTAAATAAAACAGTTACTCATAGGTATCAATAAAAATTAAAAGCAGAAGTTCTTGAAGTAAATTTATTTGCATAGACTTGAGAAAACAGCAACAAAATTTTGCAATTTTAGCAGAAATGTGATTTGCAAATTTAGTTTTCCCAAGATTGTATCCATGTCATATTTCTTTGTAGCTGTTACTGATTTTATGAGCAAAGTAGATAAACGTGCTCCATTAAAGGCCCTACGTTTTACTAGCCTATTATCTCCTGACAACAGTCCGTTTTGTTCTAGCTTAAACTCGTTACTTTTGACGATTCTCTACCTGTACTCAGCAAACAGAGGGAAAAATCATGGCATTTTTTCAAGTACAAGTTTAGGGAAACAACAGGAGATTACAGAGGACATACTCTCTTGTCTTCCTTTACACAAGTTTGTCTTGCTAACTTTGTTTCAGCTGTCTCAACTGCTAATGGCCAAACACCTCTCAGAACGTCAGCCACCCCGATGCAGGAACACTACCCCGAAACTGAAAACCGAGTAAGGTTCAGTTCCTTGCTTCTTCTGGCCAGCTTAACCAGAAGCGTTAACACTGCAAGCCATTTGTACTCTCTTGCTCTCCAGGTCCTCATCTATGAGGTAAAGAAAGGGCAACATTTTCTCTAAATTCTGCCAAGAATTCTGCCATTAAGATGTATTATAGAAAGTAAAAAGAAAAAATCCACAGATTAAAAAAAGGAAGAGCTAAAGCTTAAATTATACACTGTCCTCCAACACTATCAAGTAACAGGTACAGAACACATGGCGACTGCTGACAGCTGTTATGAGGTCAGGCTGAACATGCAGGAACAAAGAGCTTTAACGTGGAAAATTAAATTTGAAACAGGAAAATACTGTAAGTAAATGTCACGACATATCGTAACATATTAATGGTGGCAAAAAAATGCACACAAGTTACTGGTAAAAAGAGACATTTTGACCAGCTAGTAAGTGTGGAAATGTATAACCCAACCCTAGGATTAAGATTCACCTACATCTGCTTTGAGCTACACTCACATTCTAGAAGGGCAGGCTGCCCAGCCTTAATGCTGAATGCCACCCTAATTCCCTTTGGCCATTTGAAAAAATAAATGTTTAAAACTTAAATGACATCACCTGGAACTATTCCAAGAAAGGCAGCTATAAAAAAAGAAAAAAGAATGCACACGATTTTAGCTATTTTTTTTAGAGAGGTAGGTACCTAGGTGTTTATAGATGCATGTTTTGAGAAAAAAACCCCACACTTCTATCATCATAAACAGATTATGCTTATTTTCAAAATTTCAGCAGCTAATTCATATGATGGAATGCAAGACTAAAGTATAAATCTATACTTTCTATACAAAATCTTAAATTGGAAGCAAATTCGTACAAAGCTCATGTTACTTTTTAATTAAAGCTTTAATTAAACCTTATTGAAACTACACAATGAACATCCTGAAATAAATGCTGCAAAGGTACAAACAGATTGCCCAGGCAGGAAGAGTGAGGATTAAACAAAGCTCACTACCCGCAAAAACTGGGAGAGCATTTAGAAGAAAGGCATCAAGATATGAAGGCCTTGTCCATCATGATTCCTACTGTGACAAGCTGTCCTGGAGTTCATGTCATCGAATTCTAAACCTGGAAATCCAGGCTGCAATTCTGGGTAGGAATATCCAGCCATACCTCCAGACAGCTATCTGCAGGGAGTGCTACAGTCCACAAAGTACTGCCCAACCCCTATCGACCAGCTAGGCTATTTACGTGAAAACTTTGCTTATTTTTTTAATATATACAAACCCATGCTATATACTAGATATGTATAATATATATTATATAAAATATAATATAAATTACAGTACTCTATATACTATGCTTTATATATAAAATACAGTATATTTTATATGTAGTGTATATATATATTATATATATTTAAAAAATTGCTTAGCTGGTTAATTGCACAGTACACAGTCCCTGGAAAGGGACTTTTTACAAGGGCGTGTAGTGATAGGACAAGGGACAATGGCTTTAAACTAAGAGAGGGGAGATTTCCATTAGATCTAAGGATCTAATGGAAAGGTTTTTTACATTGAGGGTGGTGAAGCACTGGAACAGGTGGCCCAGAGAAGTTGTGGACGCCCCATCCCTGCATCCCTGGAAGTGTTCAAGGCCAGGTTGGATGAGGCTTTGGGCAACCTCGTGTAGTGGAGGGTGTCCCTGCCCATGGAAACGGGGTTGGAACTAGATGATCTTTGAGGTCGCTTCCAACCCTAACCATTCTATGATATATACGGTTATATAGAGAGAGGATATATATTTATGTGAAAATAGGTATTATATAAATACATATGTGCCTATATGTATGTATTTAAATAAAAGCATGCATATATTCCATCAGTACCTAACAATAACTTTTAGAAGTACCAACAAGTTTAGCTTCCTATTTACAGTAAACTAGGCTGTGCTAACAGCACATCTGTTGTGGCATCTATTGACTGTTGAGGAGAAAAATGAACTAGAAAGGGCACCTGCTGATTTAAAAATTATTATGTAACCACCTGTGCTAATATCCCAAATTAGATTAAAGATTAGATAAAATGAAATGGAAAATAAATAGTGTTTTCCAGTAAACATTGTTCAAAGGTAGCTATCAGTTCTCATACAGGACAACTAATATTTCAACAAAACAGCAGGGGGAATAACTCACAATGTGAAGAAAACTAAATGCCCAAAAGTTACTTGCCTATAAGGAACTCTATATAGGACGATGACATATTCCCCTTTCACATGAAAGAAGCCTCAAAACGTGGCCCTGTGTCTTTAACCTGTACATATTTGGAACATAACATTAAGCTTTTTGCTAAGTTAACAGTATATTGAGCCCTCTTGGCAGATGACTGTACAATGAGACCCAAATGATGCAAGTATTCATTACCATGTGTTATCCTTAGTGACTTTTAAAGGGCATTATTTCATGGCCTGGCAGAAATTTAGTGATACTCGCTCTTGCCCCATACTTACCTGAAGGATTTATTTTAGATGGGGTCTCTTCATTTGATTTGGCACTTTTAAAAGGGTATCAGCTTAAAAATTTTAGTAAAACAAAAAAATGACATTCTGCTACGCGCACATCTCAACATTTGGGTGGTTACACAGCAGAGGTGATGTTAAACATTTTGTGTGAAGTAACACTGTTCCATAATAAGTGAGCCCCCCCTTAAAGCAAAAAGGTGGCTATTAAATAAAAAATAGAACGCTTATTTTCTTATTGATTCTCATTAAAATATTTGGTAATGTTGTGATGATTGTAGAGGAAATGCAGCCCTTGCCAACTAACTGATACTGATAGTTGCCAATGTTTGGCACCAACTGCACAAGGAAAACAATGCTGAATTTGCTTTTATGATTGGCAGTTTACCTAATGGATGAACACTGACTACTAATGAAGCTATGGCCAAAGTAAAAGGATGAAAATTAACAAAAAAAAAACAAAAACAAAAAAAAAAGTTTAAGAGACAAAATGTGACTAAGAGGAGTTTTGCTGCAAGTTAGACGTGGAAGACAAATTAACAATTCGCAGCATGGGCCTACATGGTACAATGCAGCAGAAGCTTCAGTTTAGCTTCAGAGTGTTAAAGAATTGGCAAGAAGAGAAAACAGATTTTCATCAAACTTTAGAACACGACAATATACACAGCTAAAACTTCCATGTTACATTCAAAGGACAAGCTAAAGCAAGACCAAAAGCTCAGTGTTGGCTACACAGTGCTACAGCTTCTACATGTTTCACAGGAAATGTTTACACAAAAAGTGTAAGGAAAGTTTTAGAAATTAACCAGTCTTGTTTTCCGCTTAAAAATGAGGTGTTAGACAAACCTGATAAGGGAAATATTACCAATTGCCTACTCCCAAAGCTACAAATCCCCACTAGATGAAGTATTTGTACACATACCTTGCCTTTTTGCCATATTAAAAGTCTCTTCTAATCTTCTCAAAGTAATGGTAAAAGTTAAAAAAAAAATTAAAAAAAATCAACCCCAAAAAGTTTTATATTTGACTCGGGAGTTTTGGCATATGAAGCACATTCAAGTAACATTTTCAATTCCATCAAGCTATTAAAAGATTTCTCTCTCCTCCCAATTTTCTTAAGTTTTAGAAAGTGACTATGGCATCATAGTTCTGACAAGTCTAGAGCTCAAGAGCCAATTACAGAACTCAGCAGCTCTCTATTACTGCTTCCCAGGTCCATCTGGCATCTTTTCACATTGCTAATGTTGAAACATTAGAAAACGTTTTCAGTACGTTTAGCAGCTAAAAGTACTGACACCTTTTTAGTACAAAAGAAGTAAGTATTCCTTGTGGAAAACTGCCAAGATAGATCATTTTAAGAGACAGTAATTTTCTTCTCAAGATTATTAAATCGCTGCATTACAGGTGTGTATCAAAGCTGCTACCTGAGAGGGCACAAAAATGTGAAACAATCAAACTTACAAGGCTGTTAAAAATTTACTCAGTTTGGAAGAAAAAAATATATACTGTCAAAAATAATCCTTTCCCCTATCTTATTTTTTGGCAAGGCAGCATTCAGTTGACACTGAACACTGCAAAGAACACAGCTTGGACACAGAAAGATTCTACTCTTTTATAATGCAGTACTGAAGATGGCTCTTTCTTTTCTCAATTGCCAAATTAAGGGATGTAGGAAGTAACTGAAAACACAGACAGGAATTTTTGCTCCCAAACATGACAGTCTTCAACTCTGATGGGATGTTATGTGAAGCAGAAAAGTTTAGCTCTGTTTTATATGCTTGGTACGGAAAACAACCAAGCGACCTCCTTGAGCTTCAGTACTTTATTTTTCCTTGAATTCCCTTACAGCCTTTTGATAACTATTTGCAAGGCACTAAATTCCAGTAGACCCACGTGTTAAGGCTAAACAATGCAGACTGGTTTGTTTGAGGGAGGTGGGTGAGGAAGACCACTGGGAAAGAATAGTCTTTGCACCATAATACCAAAACAAAAGCTATATAATGAAGTCTTGAAAATAAAAAGAAATTATATGTAAAAGTATGTGCAACAGTTGACACAACACAATCCTGTACATTGAACAGACTCATTTTCCTTTTTAAGATAACTGCAAGTCATGAGAGCTCTCAAAGCCTGAAATATCTGCTTTACTTACTATAAAGCGTACTGACAACTTGGACTTTAAGTTAGATTTAGAAAAAACTAACAATTCAACTGTACCTATTGCCACTTATGGGTATTCTCTGAAGTCACGTCTTTTAAGAGCGCCTAAAACTTTTACAATTTTTTTTAAAAAAAAAAAACAAACAAACAAGCAACAAACCCCAACCACAGTTAAAATACCTATGGAGTTTTAGAGGTTCATAATCTGGTCACTGTGACTCAGTGACAGGTTTGGAAGGATTAGACCAAATACCAACCTCTGAACAGCCTTTCAAATTCTAAATCAGGATCAATCCACTAACAATATGAAGACACGGCATAATGTACAGAACCTGTTTTAATAAATCTTAGCATCATTCTGATAAGCTTAAAAATCCACCTCAAAAATGAATCTCCAAATCATAATGTGTCAGCCAGTACGCACGAGCATTTCAGTGACAGACAAAATTATAGAAAAAACCAAAAAGCAAAGAACTAAACTTTCTGAAACAAGTGGAATGATAAATCTTTTTATTCTGCAACTATCTGGAATTTCTGCCTTTCAGCTGGCTGTTGAAACAAACCTGAAACAAAAGCTAAAACTAAAGCAAGCAAGGAATAGGAGGGTCACCACTGTATTGGTAACAGCACACCCACCCCCAGCCCTCAAAATAACCTCCTCAGCAAAACCACCCAAACCCCTGTATGTGAAATTTGGGAAAAGCCAGACACACATCAGAACGCTACCGATGCAGCACCAAAGTGCCTCTCTGTCTTATGGACACTACACACATCACTGGCAGAATAAAATCCAAGCCCAGGTTCCAGTGTACACCATGGAATAATTAAAACACCTTTCAATGAAATTCATTTTGAAAGACTATAAATAAAAACAAACTTACTTCAACTGAAAATAATGGTTTTAAGTCTGCTTTAGCACAGAAAACATCAACAGAAAATGAAGATAATCTAAAGTAAGAACTATTACTTTACCCACAAATTCAAGGTAACAGGACTACAAATCACAGGGTTTTCGTTGCTGAAATTCTCAAAACAAGGAGCTGGCCAAAGAAAGAGAATGTACTGCTCCTTTTGAGATTTTCTGCTACCTTGAGCTGCATACCACCGAACTCGTTCACGGCACCCTTTAGAGTACTGCTTAGCTTTGTGCCAACAACCTGAAAGTCAGCATTTCTCAAATTTAACTGTCACGACACACACACGCAGAAATACTACTTCAGAATAGATATTTTTGCATTAGTGTAAACTGCTACACTGTGCAGTTAAGTGCACTTGCAAGCTAAACAGAAAGAACAAACATGCTTTAATTACAAGTTTTTCACAGAGAAATGTACCACCTGAACTGCACAAGAATGGCCAGTGTTACGTCCGAATTCTATATACCACAGAACTACACCAAATGGTAACGGTTTTCCCTTCCTGCTGTGTTTGGTAACCTCCCAGTTCCAAACCTGTCTAGACTTCCAGACACTGTCATCATCGTACCTTACACTTCTCCTTCCCCCTTTTATAGCTATTTTAGAGCAACAAGGAACACTATTACACTTTGTGTAGTCCAAATACTCCTAGTCATTATCCAATCATTAATCTTATGTTGTCTCCTTAAGTCTAGTCAGTATCAAGAGTTAGATGCATTAACTTTAAAAATTTTACCTTTTCTAACAATTTTTGTTTTTCCTTTTCTCTTCCTCTTTTTTGTTTTTGAAGAAGTTTCACAGTAATTACTATTATTGATATCTGCCTCAGATTCCGTATCAGAAGAGTGATTGAAGCTGGCACCAGGTCCAGATTTTGAACTCCCTGCAATTCTAGTTGGCACCAAGCTCTCTGAGATAAAACTTCTCCCATCCTCTCTGTCTTCTGTTTCAGATTCTGCTGTGTCCTCTAAATCACTCAAGACTTTTGCTTTTTTTAAAGGAGCAGCAAGCTGCAGACCAGTTGATTTTCTGCCATTCCATCTATCCAATTCAGAATCCACTTCATCCTCGGAGTTGCTCACTGCAGGCTTATTATGTGCAGATGTTGATTGGTCAGAAACTTTTGGACTGCTCCCATCCTCTGAATTATGGCTTTTGGAGTCCTCCTCTGAAAAGTCTAGGGTGGGACTTTTCATTTTGGGAGATACGGAATGGACTGTCCCACGTAACTGTTTAGGACCATTGCTTTGCCAGTTTTTCTGCTTCATCTGTGTGTCTGTCTCAGAATCTGAAGTTCCATTTTCAGTGTCACTAACAAATTTTCTTCGTGCAGCACATGAACTAGGTTGAGAAAGAATCTTCCTCTTGGTAAGCTGCTCTTCTATTTCTTTTTCACTTTCAGACTTTAAGCCTACGTCATCCTCAGATCCCTCCAGTAACATTCGCCTGGCTGCAGCTGAGGCATTTCGGTGAGGCAGTTTTCTATTCTTGCACCCAATGCCAACACTTTCTGAGCTTGAAACCTCTTCCTCCACATCGCTCATCAGCCTTAACTTATTAGCAGCCACAGTAGCACTTCTGCGTGGAGTTTTTCTATGCCTACCAGTACTATTATTGAGTGACCCAGATGACACCACCAAAGTATTTTCAGAGTCACTTCCATATAACTTTTTCCTGACGGTTTTTCTTGTATTCCCATTCTCCTGAAGAAGTGTTCCTGTAAAGGAAAGGAGAGATTAGTATCTTTATAAATATAAAAATAGCAGCTTCTTAAGTCTAGTCAAATCTGGAACAGTTTCAACCCACAGCTATGACGGTGAAATATACTCCTAATAATAGCTGTGTGTGTTTGTTGTCTGCCAAGAGAAATTATTTACCCATGTCATAAATTTTGGATTCATTCTAGTTTTGTAAAAATTAGAACTTCTTTATGAATTATTGAGTTTTCTTTCATTAAGATATAAAATGTTGCAAGACATTCCCTCATGCTAGGTTCTTGGTTTCTGTCCTCCTCTCCTAAGTAGCGAAAGAAAATCTTTTTAAAAATTGAGTGTAGCATTTCAAGAGCTTCAGAACTACTATCCATCAAAAAGTTAGTATCTTATATATACAACAATTTAAAAAACAGTAATTACATTTAGTTTTTTATATATATACACACACACACTTATTTGCCATTCACAAGAAAACTCCTCCAATCTTACCCATTTGTTTCCTTTGAGCAGCTCGATTTCTAGTTATCCTACAATTGCTGTTCTTTCTTCTACATACACCATTGTGTAGCGGAGGTGACACAAGAGCCACAGAGCTTTCTTTGCTGTCTTCTGAGCTACTTGCAGAGGATGAAGATGAAGAGGAAGTAGATGAAGAAACCAAAGAACCTTCTATTTCACTTTCTGTTAAAAAAAATTAAATTAAATTGTCAATTAGGATTCTAAACATACAGTTAGCTTCCAGTTGAGACATACATTTTGCTGATCCAGGAAATCTTCAAAATTTCTTCACAATATTGCCTTACAATACATGATCATGCCTTAATGTCTTACATGTACGAAAGAGATAGCTCTACAAAATATACTACTCCATATTTATGCAGTGTTCAGTGATAAGAAGCTTCTTTAGCCTGTATTTAAGTTACAAGTAAAATAACACAGCTGTTTCCAAATAACAGAATTAAGAGAAAAGCATGTTAAAAAAAACAACACACAACATATTCTGACACATCTCTTTTACCAGAACTTGCATTCTTGTTCTTTGAAATAAGTTGAATTTTTGTCAAAGCGAGGTGTAGGGGAAGAAAGAAAAAACAGGAAGGTTTTTATGTCTTGGGGAACTTGTGTTTTTGCTAATTTTGGACGACAGTTTTTATGCAACACATTTGAGCGTATAACCTGTTATAGAGTACCATTCATCAAATACACTATATTTTCCTCTCAAATAAGAGACATCCATTCTCTACAACCACTTTCCTAGAACAGCTGCTTGAAATTAAGAAATTCTATTATTCTATTTGGTAAGATTTAAGAGCATGAAGTAACCACGTAGTTAGCAGGTCAACTTCTTATCATCAACCTTCCTCAATACAGCTTTGTTGTGAAACCCCATAGAAAAGCTGAAAAAAAAAAAAAAATCTGCTTGACCGCAAAATGGATATAAACCCAAGACAGTTCTGTCTCTAAGAAGCCAACTATCCTATTGATAGGTTTCTGCTTAGGTGCAAGCTTTTTCATTAATAAAAGTTAAGTCAACTTACTGCATTCTATGGGATTTTAAAGCAGAAATTTCTATGTTTAGTACACAGGTCTTTTTACAACATTCGGTAACGTATTAAGTGTCCAAAATTAATTAAAATACACAAAATTCTGTATGACACAAAACCAAACTGCACAGAAACCTTGTCTGAAAGAGTTTCACATTAAAAATACAAACCTTGTTTAACGATTTAGAATGCAATTGCAAATTACGGCAAATATAAAGGAAAGGAAAGGAAACGTTAGTGGACAATTCACAGATAAGACCAAGATGAAATTCCTCATCTGAAACAGATTCTGTTTCTGACCTGATGATAATGCAGAACAATTTGTTAGTGTTGTGGATCTAGCTTTTCCATTCTTTTCAAAGGATGCCAGGCATGCAGAATCAGAGGATTCACCAGAGGAACTATGGTTGTAATTGCTCGCATTCGTTTTATGGCTTGCAACACAGGCGGCTCTGCTTGAGGTAGGTTGAGTAAAAGAATCTTCCTGCTCAGATTCAATTTTTGCCTGAGACTTTAATGGTTTCTGCTTCAAATTTCTAGTGAAAGGGGAAAGAAACAAAAGCAACACAGGTTGTAAAACTATGAGAAATAATGGTAATTATGCATTTTAACAATACTTCTCTCTGAAAGCTTAACTAAGTGTATGCTATACAATTTTAGATTTATGGAAAATAGTTAGATATGTGACCTAACACGATGTGGGACAATTTTAACTTTGACAAGGATAAGCATTAAGTACTTGCATTGAAATAATAGTCTACACTCTTAGTGAAGTTATACAAGAGGAGACATTCTTTCTCTGCTCTGAGAAACAAAGAAGTCAATACTGAATGTCTCCTAGACAGTGATGTCCTCTTATTATTTACCAGGAAATTGCAACAGGAGCCTCAATATCTGTTGAATTCCCGGACTCTTGTTAATTGTACATAAGCCTCAAACTAAGCGCTATGCGTACTAACATTATTCCACAATAAACCCAGTTCCAAAGACACAAAGAAGGTGTCTCTTTAGAGAAAGTTCACTGTCTAAAATAAAATATGTGTTTGTAGAAACTCACTGATTCGTTTCGTCCTTACTATACATGCTAGAGTGCTATGCGCAGTCCTGGTAAGTCACTTATTTTCACATTTAGAACTACTATTTTGTCAGCTGCTTCCTTACAGTCACAGGTTTTCAGATACTCATCTAGGTACACAAGATGTTTATGTTCTTTTTGCTATCCAAACACTCTCCCAAATAGTCCCAAACCTCAGTCCTGCTGAGCGCCACTGACTTGCCAATAAGTCACATACAATTCTTCAGATACAAGCAGAAGTGTTGTTTCTAAGGAAAATTTATGTGTGTCTTGATTTCTCTAGAAAGAAATGAAAGCCCAAGGAATATCCCCAGTAAAGCTTAAAGCTCATTGCCGGGTATGCGTGTAGCATAATCCAACATGTAAGCATAGTAGAATTTGAAAACGTAGAAGTAATCCACTGAAATTTTAAGAGAAGAAAGCCAAACATGGTAAAGAAACGTATTCTTAGATTTTTTTTTTTTCCCTTAAAACTCTTATTCCTATCCTTTCACTGCCAGAGAAGAAAGACCAGACAGCAGCAGAAAGATATAAGCTCAGTTTCAGTGATTTACCATGTTTAGCTTTTGTATTTTGTCTCACTTCATCCCATAAGAAAATTAAGAATACATGAGTTAATCATGTCAACCAGCAGCTGTGTCAAAAGATTTATTTTTTTTCCTTCAAAGGAAAAGGCATATCTAGCTACCAACAGAATGCTACACTAAGTGAAAATTTCTATAAACTCCATAGGACTGACTTTCTTCTGTATGTGATAAAACACATGATATATGCAGCTTTGTAAACTTTGTAATATATATAACCAAGTGAATCTTTGTTTCATTTCTCATTATTTCAGTCAGATTAAATACTGATTTCCTGACTGAACTATTGGAAAAAACCAAAAGCAAAACCTCCAACCTTTTCTACTCTTCAGCCCTTTTGATGTTTCACAGCCAGTTTTATACTACAAAAAAACAGCTTTTTTTGCATGTCTTTCCTACTGCAAGAGAAGTAATTACAGAAAGTTTCACTGGAGTTAGCTAAACATTTAATAAAACAATTGTTCTCTTCTTCATAGACTAAATACGACAATCAATATGAATATTAGTCAGTTGTGATATATCTCTACATCTTCATAATGTGGTTACCTGAGCATTTTGGTAGGATGCTGCACTGAGCTTTGATTTTGAAATCTTCTAGTGTACCTCTGGTTTCTTCGTAGTTTTTCATTCTGTTTCTGACCGTTTTTGAAATCTGAAACAATTCTTCTTATTTTCTCTTCAAATAGTGCTGACAATCTCAAGGTCATACTATAAATCTAGGTAGGAAGTGGCTTATATTAAAAACAGAATCTTTCATCCAAGAGTAACATTTTTAAAATTAAAACCCGAACAGAAAAGAAATAGAAAAAGCACGGCACACAATCCTATGTAACACTAGAAAAACAAGAAATGAATATATTAAATATTTTTGTCATACTTCTTCCACTATCTATCCAACCAGCAGCTTTATTGAAAGCACTAATAAACAAACCAATTTCAAAATAACACCTCATTTCATTAAGTGTAAAAATCCAGAATTAACAGCTACCTTTGACTTTTTGTTTGGAGTATAAGATTTTGCATTACTAAATATTAGCCTTATATCTTTGCACAGTTCCATTGGAGTGTCATAATTTCCAGCTTCCAGAGTTTCTTTCACCGTACCAAAGTCCATTGGAGTGTCTATAATATGTCTGTAATCCTAGATAAAAACATAAGAAAAAAAGATTCAGGAAGGTATAAGAAAAACAAGACTTTTAAATTTTATTTCTAGAATTTAAGAGTAGCTAAGATGACCACAGATTATCTTAACCATCACCTGAAAACAGAAGCACCTACCACAGCAGACAGCAACACTTTTGCTGAGACTAGTTGATTTAAAGTCTCTGCTACATTATCTTGTACAAAAACTCTTGCTCGTTTTCAAGGTGGTCTTCAAAATTTCTGAAGGATCATGAGTTGATACAATGTCACATGCTTGCACATGCAGATTTCTAGTTTCAATTCTCCTGAGTTTCCGCAATAAAAACTGCCCAGTAACAATAACATGCAAGTAAATCTTTTTACTGTTAATCAAAATGAAAAATAAGACTGCTGTAAATCATCATGTAATCCTTTCTCTGATGTGTTTTACTATGGAAAAAAAACCTGACTTGGTTTAAAAACAAACAAAAAAAACCCCCAAACACCTCTATCTCTCTCTCCTGTTAATAAGTTTTAGAGAACCTCAAGATGTTTTTAAAACCTGAAGTGAGACTCAAACTCAAGATGTGAAGTCCACAGGAAAACAGTTTTATGCTTGTCAATAAGTTTTTTCCTTAAAAGTTCGTTGGGTTTTTACACAAAATAAGACTGAAGAGTTACCAAGAATACCACGAACAGCTAAGAGAAAGAATAGCTCAGGCTCAGTAAACAGGTTTTGTAGATTGTCCCTCAAGAAACCAGTTTTAATTAAGAACATACAGATTTATCTAAAATTATTTCCCTACAAAAAAAAGCAAGCAAAAAAAGACTGTGAGCAGTTTCAAACTACATTTATGGTATCAGGTTATTTGTTGGCACCACCACTGCTCTACAACTGTTTTGTGTTCTGTGTCAGCATTTTGATGGATGTTACCTTGATGCCGTAGAGCACACAGTTTATAGTTCTAAGCACCGAAAGAAATTTGCTTTGCTCTGTGTGTCTACATTTAGCTCATATCCAGGACTAAACAATAGCCAGTGAGCAGGACTGAACAATAGCTCAATGACTCCTCCCCAGTCAAAAAGGGGAAAAGGAAGGAAGGCCCCTGAGTTAAGATAGGAACTACTTAATAACTGAAATACAGTAAAATAAAAGTAGCAATGATAGTAGCAATGATAGTAGCATATACAGACAAGTGTTGTACAGTGCAATTACTCATGATTTCTTGACCAATGTCCAGCCTGTTCCCAGAGCAGGAAAATCCTGAAACCGCAATCCCAGAAGAGAGAGCGTAGGCCTTGGAAGCAGAATGATGGGTGATAATCCCCCCAAGATGGCAACCATTGAGAAAGGGGGCCCGTCCACAACAAACTTTCCAATTTACAGTGAGCATGACGTTACATGGCATGGAATATCCATTTGTCAATTCAGGTGTCAGTCGCCCTTGGTCATGCTCCCCTCAGGTTCTTGGACATCTGGGTCATCAGCAAAAATGAGTTGAGAAGTCCTTGATCACTATGGATACCTGCACACCACAGCTGGCTACAAACTAAAGTGTCTTATCAACTTGGTTCTCACCGAATCGGGTGCTGCAGTCTTCTTAAAAATGCAGCTGTCTTCAGAAATGTAGCTTTTCTGAATGGAAAATGGATTCTATGATTCTATCCCAGCAAAACCAGGATAGAATTGTTTGGGACTAAAGCCATAAAGTGAACAAATAGCTCTAAGAGCAAGTGTAGATGTTGTTATGGTAAAAAATGCTAAGAGAGGAAAAAAAAAATATATTTATATCTTACAAGTTTAGTAAGAGCAACTTACAGGATATTGATCCAAATCAACGGGCTGCCTGAAAGGTTCTGAGTCTTCACACTGGAAAATTAAATTCACTAGTTCCATACACTGCTTCTTCCAACAGTTTTCATCATAGCCAGTTTTCACACTTTTTCCTCTTTTTAAGCCCCGTCCCTTCAAAAAAAAAGTTAGAAAAAAGCATTACTGAAATATAGCAAGAAAAAATAAACCCGATAATCTGTCTGGAATTATTTCTGTAGCACAAAAATGCACTTCCCAAACATACTGTTTTATGACAAAAGGGGCACTATACTACTAGCAGATATTTTCCTAAAATATTTTCCTAATTTATTAATAAACTCTTAGAAATTACATAATTTTCTTTTACTATCTTTTAAGGTTTTTTTTATACTAAATAACTAGAGCACACAAACATATACCTTCTGATACCAAATTATTCTCAAAAGATTTGACTACTATCCATCACTCAAAGAACAGCACTGATATCAAACTCGTAAGAAAGATCTTCGCTTCCTAGGCAACTATACAGAATGAGTATAGAGGCATCAAAACATCAAAGACATATTTAAGCAAAGTTTTTACTTCCTTAATACTTTTGGAAAAATTCTGTTCTATGATTGTTATAGAACCAAGCATCACTCCCACAGAATTTCAATACAGTCTGTCAAATATTTTTTCCTGCCAGACCTGATTTGGATATATACGGTAAAGATTAGTCAACTCACTTTTCTTCTTCTATATGTTGTTCTTGGAAGACGTTTTTCATCATCCTGCACAAAATAAAATCAATCATCTTAAAAATTATGTATGAAAAAATAGGTAACAGGTGCGCAACGTGTCATTAGATTTGATACTGAGGTAGAAATAGATTTTTATTCTCATGTAAGACAGAAGATGAGCATAGAAAAAAATACAACACAGCATTTGAGAGACTTGGAAAGCAAGATCCTAGATGTCACCACTAAAGATTCCTGACTCCAACCCTTGTCCTTATAACAAAGGAAAAACCACCACCAGAAATTGCAACAAGAAGATACCCATCAGCTTTGAACCTCCATGACTAAAGATTATCAGTAATTCAATTCACTGATAATAAACGTCATAAAACTTTCTTTTTTTCCCTTGTCCTGAGTTCAGGAAAAGACATCTTGTGATCATGTTACTTTTGTTAAAAAAAAAAACCACACCTTACAATGTGGAGGTACTAAGACAATGCTGAAGTAGCAAGACAAAGAACTACAATGACTGAATACAATTTCTTCCCTACATATTAACCTGCAATGGAGAGCAGCTACTTGGCAAATTCGTGAAGTCTTGTTATTAACTGCCAAATTAGAAATCAAAATGTGAAAAAGATACCAGTTTGAGCAGGTTTTGGTACACTATTAATAAACATACAGCACTGCAGATGGCATTCACTGCATAACAACAATGCATATTCATCTCTATCAGATTTAAGATAGATGTACTTTATTACATTCTCAGTGAGGCATGCAAATCTGATTAATGATTCATATTGTGGTATACAGAGAAATTGAGAGTCAAAGCATTGCTGCAATAGTTACACAACTTGCCAGCTTTTAGCGTTTATCACTGTATGAATGACAATTTGACCTCAGAAACAACCACATGCATATAACGAAAAATACAATGAAAGACAGCTATTCATGTACTCTTGAAATACTTCTATTACATTACTGCACCTTAACATGCTTCAGAAACACAATGCCACTCGCAAAATATGGAAGAATTTTCTAGTTGATGGTACACAGTCATAGTAAAAATGAATATTTGCTATGCTTCTTAACAAATACTAACAACTCAAATCATTTTAATACAGCATCTCTTCACATCATTCCCTGTATTCATAATACATTTGATGTTTATACTAGCTATATAAATGTATAAATACACACTAACACCTCTAAAAAAATAATTGAGCAATTTAACCAAATATTTGCAGGCTGGCGACATTTTCTTACAACCATATATTACTGGAATTAGCCACAAAAAACACTTACCAGATCAGCATCAAGACAATCTTGTTCATCATCTGTTGTGCTGCATAGTTCAAAAATGTTTGTGCAGTCCTGATCACTGTAATGCAATTAGATCTCTGTTACTGGAACAGCAAAAACATAGCTATCATTTCACAGATTAAACCCAGCCACAACCAAGTGCTACACATAAACTGGAAGGCAGTAACTAAGAATTAAATGAAATATAAAAATCACAGGATGATTATAATATTAACAAAGTAATGTTACATCTGAAAAGCTGCTACAACGTGCATTTCAGAAGAAGTGAGGGGAGGAGGGAGAAATTAGCATTAGGGATTTGAAAAGGGCCCTCATGCCTCATCTACCTGCAGGAAGACTGCCTACACTAACTTCTTTCAAAAATAAACCTCAGCTGAACTAAGTCAGACAAGCTGCAACAGGAACTTCTACATACATGCTAGACAGCACAGCACTTACTTTATAGGTTGAGCTACTTTCACATCGAGTGACATTTTGATACTATAAATACCAGTGAAATACTGAGGGGGAAAAAGTTAAAAACGTCTCTATGCTGAACATTTAAGTATTTCCCCAGTTGAGATAAAAAAAAAGTATGCAACTGTCCTGCAGTGTACTGAAAAACAGAAAGAAATGAAAGAAGCAGGATTCACAACAAAGGGATATTAAGATGGTTATACTTTCTCACTGTTTAAGAGCATGAGTGTTCAAGCACTATTTAGATTAAGATGCCACTTACTTGATAAACTTTAAGAGCTGGGTAGTGATCTTTTTTGCAGCTTTAGCAATAGCACTCCCAGGTTCGTTGAAGGTCCTAGCATTGCTTTCAATATATCTTACTTCCCAAACCAATGCAGATATTCTCCTTAAAATTAAAAAACATTACACCTTTAATACTAAACTGAAAAGCTTAAAACCTGCAAAATTATATCTCAGTAATTTTCTGTCCACATTAAGATAGATGTCCTTTGTTTTAAGTCTCATTAGACCAGTTTTAAACTTTTCATCCACATGGAAAACTGAAGTATGTATATGTATATATACACACACACACTCAAGGAAGCAAAACCAACAATACACATCTTTACTCACTCATTTTCCAACTCCTTACTGATAATTCATCTTCAGAAAGTTTGTGAAATTTTGGCATGTGTTGGTTTCATTCTTAAAATCCAGTTAATACAACTAGCCAAGTAAGCACTAGCATTCGCTACCACTAAATTATAAAATATCACTGAAATAATACTGAAGATTGTGGATTACCTGCATTCTTTAAACACGCATGCATTTTTAAAAAAGCTTATATTTGACCTTATTAAAATAGGAAGGAAAAAAAGTACTATTTAACCACCACTGTAAATTATAACATTTATTCTGGGAACATCAGAAGTTGCTTGTCATAAAGCCCCGTCAAATGGAATACAAGTTGTGTAGTATTTTAGTAATTCTTAACGAATAAACACAGGGCACAAGCAATTAAACAAGAGAGTGCCAAGAAGCTTGGCCTAATTACATTTTTAAAGACATCTCAGCTATGATGTGCTTTTCTGTCTTCCCTCTAATACCTTGCTTTGAGGCCACCTGGCCAGTTAAAGCAGTGCCCTCTGTAAGACAACGGATTTGTAGAAACTGCTACAAATTAAAGTTGTAAATTGACAAAAACGAGCTAGCACAACTATGTAATTTAATTATTATCATTCGTTTTTCCAATTCCTTGTAATTGTGAAACAGAGATAACCCAAGTTTGTAGGTCTTCACCTACAGAATTTCAAACTATTTCCTAATACATTATTTCAGTCTTACGTAGGAGGAAAACAACTATTAATATCTCTTCACTGTATTTACAGACAAACTGAAGGCAAGTCCAGATAAAGAACACTTAAATTTCTTTTGGTGCTATGGATACCTATCACATCCAGCAAATCAGAACTTTATCATCATTCATTTCAGCTTCTTCCCTCTTCGCTACTGTAAGTTTTTATCATTTAAAACCTCAGTACATTTCACCTCTGTGTTTGAGCCCATTTCTGAAAGTAATAAGCACTTAAGGGCTTAACCCTCTTCAATTTCAAAGTAACTGAAGTAAAGGACTTCAAAATCTGAATTAAGTCTTCAGCACTGAAGTAACTTTTTTTTTTTTTAACATTTAGTAATTTCAAATAGCAAATTTCTGAAAGAAAGAATGTCAGTCTTGACTGTAACTCTGAAACAGCACCAATATCAGCTGAAATCAATTTCTTTAAGAACTAAGTAATTTTATATAAATTAATATAACATTGCTGTTATCAAGCATCAGAGCCCCGCTACAAAACACCAGTAGTGCTGAATTCAGGTACTGGACTACTGTTTTGCAGAATTTTCTTTAAAAAAGCAATTGTTTTTCTTACTATAAAAATGCACAAACTCAAGGCCACATTCTCCCTTGTTTCTACTGCTAGCACTAACCTGTAAAATCTGTTAGCCAGTCTTGTCCGAATAGTGTTCAGGTCTGTTGGATAAGCGATCACGGTACAATACTTGGGATATGTACACAGGTCAACTGGACCAGCAAAAGCTGCTGAAATGTCTGTTAAGAAACAGCAAGATTAATTAAACTATTTCAAAGCTCGTACACATATGACAGTTGTGCCAGGTGTTCAATTGCTATGTATAATTATTCTTGATAAAACCAATGATGTATAAAACCATAAAAATCTCAGTACAGAAAAACAGAAAGAACTGCACACTAAAACACGTTAATATTTGCAGTACTTTATCCTAGGGAGTTTTTAAAGGATGCCATGGATATTCCAGGTACCTGTTTGTAAGTGTAATGCTAGGAGAAAACTATCTAAAGCTCAGGTTATGTGCTCACCAAGAGTCAGAAGCTGATCAATACCACTGATAATCCGTTCACACGCTTCATCACGAGATCTCATCCCCCACTCTCCTTCTTGGGGTTTGTATAGTAGCTTTTCCACTTCTTCAAAAGTCACGGAAACACTAGCTCCTAATTCTTCAGGCTGATCAACTGAAGAGTGACAGCAAACAGCAAAGGGTAAGAAGTGAGAACACAAACAAAAAGATAAACTGTTAAGTACTCATGCTTATTAAATACTCATATGCTTATAACTGACAGAAGAATTCTTGCCTCAAAGTGGAGTTTGATGCTAAGACTGTGGGGAAAAGAAGTACACAAAATGCCTACAACAGCTAAGATATCATTTATTCGCCTTTTCTGCAGTTCTGAATTTCCAGAAGACTCTTCCCTTCATCTAAGCAATAGACTTAAAAGAGGACTTGAACTCGTTCTGAGTTGTTTACATGCTTTTGTTTTAAATGCACGCCCTAAACTGCTCAGGATTGTAACTTAGTTTATTAAGTCCATTTGTGCCCTCAATCTTTAAACATGTGCAAGATAGGCGATCTACTTTGTGACATCCTTCCTGGTATTAACAACTGTGATCTTTTGGACATTTTTAAAAACAGTCGTTTTGAACATGGCAGATTAATCGCCACAAAGCAGTAAGAACTAGTAGAAATATGAAGCTGTGATGTATGGTTCTGTGGAAAGAGTCACACTTCCAAAGACTAAAGCAATCTGGCTAAGGCAGAATGATTGAGTAGATAAGGTATTATCCCTGGATATCTTTCCCCCTCAATTCCACAGATTGTTTTTAGTATATCTGCAGTTCCTGCGCTTTCATTGTTTTTGAAAAGCTCAGCTCCTCATTTCATTTGAGCACTTGAAAAGGAACAAGCACGTGAAGGTTCCTGATCAGACACTGTGGGTAGGCAAAAATCACTTTGTTGTGCTGATTAGGTCAACAGGACTTAGTGATAAATTATTTATTAGCAGATAAAATTCAACAGTATAAAACATGTAGGCTTCTAGTTAGAAACTAACAGTAATAAATTCCATCAGTATCCAAGAGTCTGTCCATTAAAAATTAAAGCAAGAAAAAGGATAGGGTCCTTGTCAGTGTCATTATCCATGAATATGTTGCATACAAATTCTAAAATACATTTAATGTATTTCTAAAATACCTCCTAAAATACAACTAATATAGAGAAAAAAAAAAAAAACAAGCTTCTGAGTTCACAAAAAGGACTAGTTTTTCCTTCAGCTGAACAGGGTTAGCCTTAATAACCCCGTCATTTTTAGTTCTCCGTTCACTATTGCATTGACAGAGCCCTAACAGTATTTGTTTTCCACTGAAATAATACTGAAGATGAAGCAGTTCTTAAGAAACAAATGGGTAAAATACAAAAAGGTGTTAGGAAAAGCTGAAGGTGCTGAGCTGACCCACTTAGATGATCCTTCTAACTCATCTTTGAGCCAAAACAAGTTCTGCAACCAAACTTCCTGAAGACAACACCAGGAGAAATCAGCACGAAATGCTTCTGCATTACGTAGGGCTGTGCCAAGAACCCACATGGAATCTGGTACTCCACTGCATAAGTGCTCAAGAGCATTTTCTCCTGCAGGAGTAACAACTAAAGAAGAATGACAGACTAAACCAAATCAAACTCTGTCCTCCTCAACAAGCATGTAAAGATCCCTGCTCTGTGTTCTTTGCAGGACCCTGGTACATGTGACACAGAAGATTTGTCGTAACTCCTGGCATGTTATAAACACAGAATGTTATCATATGGTCTAATCTTCAGCAGTAAATGGGTCACAGAAGGCTGAAACCCCAGAAGGAGGGCTGCAGTGCTTGCAGTACAGGTACAGACAGTTAATATGTACAACAGCCAGTTCACATCAATTGTGGTTTAGTAAGGAGGTTGCTGAAAACTGAACTTTCAGGTCTATATGCACCAGCTTTCCTGGTCCTGACAGCGTTGTCCCTGACAAGAGAAGAGTTTGACATCTGATGCTATGTCTTGATATTTATGAGACAAAACTTATGCTTGCACGATACAAAGGGTAACAAATTAAAGTTATGATCTGCTAGTTAGTCCAACTTTAGTGCTGTTTTTCTCACATCCTATCTTAGTAAACTGAATGAAGAAGAAATATTTTGTGAGAAGAGTGGCAAACGCAAGGTACAATTTCAGTTTGATCTGTAAGTCATTCAATTGAAGAAAGGAAAAGAAAGCAAAGAAGAGGCTTAACTCCTGTTTTGTATTATATTGTTAACATAATAATGCTTTCCAGAAATGCAGAAAACATTTCTGTAAGAGCTTTACTTCCCTTCAGAGTGTCATTTTCTGCCTGGAAAGAAAGGTAGAAAATAAGGAGTTCCAGACTGTCTTCAAACAATTTTTGTTCTTTCTCTAGTCTAGTGGCTGCTGTGGTACTCATCCTTAAGCTGTTCGGAGGATGTTCTCAATTCTTTGACCTTGCCCACAAAAGACACACTAGCTTTTAGCTTTTTTATTTGCCTTTTGTGACCCTTCTCAGTTTTCCTATGGTAAAGCTGTAGCTCCTCAGATCAATCAAACCTTAAGCTCTTCACATGGCAAAGTAACAACTTATTAGATGAAAGAAATAAGTTACAGTTTGCCACTGATATAGCCAGTAAATGATTATTTACACATGCAATACTATCCAGATTCAAATTAGCATCTGTAGGATGTCTCTGTCATTACACTGTCAGTGTAGCAATTTCAAGAATTCTAGTTCATTTATGCTATCAAAATGAGCAGTTGAGAACACTACTCTCTACATTCCAATCCATAGGAGGAAGAAGTGGTAATTAATACACTGATATAAACAGCAACTTGAGCCATAGCATACAGTATTCAGAAGAAACTGACACAATTTGTCCTCTTAACAAAATAAATCTTGACTGGAGTTCACACTTAAGGCTTGTGAGCCTCTCACAATAACATGATTGTCTCTCAGTGACATATATGGGAAGCATTAACCAGTTCATGATGAGTTAGAAAAGCCTCTCTATGTTAAAAGGAGTCAGATATGGTGATGAGAAAACGGAATGTTTCCATTAAATACGCCTCTGTGTGTGTGCGTAAAACCAAAATCCTGCTGATAACTTGTTTCCTATAAACTAAAACACATAAAGATTTCAATTTCACATTTTGATTTCAGACTGTTTTTCAGAATTTGTCACCACAAGATATGACTGTGTCAGCCAGCTAACACTTCAAAGATTAGACAACCAGGTGGCTACCAAGAACATCTGCATGTGTACAATACACTTGCATTTAAGAAAAAAAAAAAAAGCATAAGCCTTTCTGATGTCCAGGAAACAAGCTAACTCCTAGGAAAGGTTATTAAGGAAATTAGTATCTTTTTGACAGCTTATTCAGCAACGACTCTCAATATTTCACAAGCTTTCTCCCTCCACCCAGCTGGTGCTGACAAGCACTGGAAAACTGAATTGAGTAAGACAAACCACGAATCCAACTGTTTTCATTTAGAGTTAATTTGGATTTGACTAGTAAACTATAAATTGTTGGTTATGCAATAAGGATTTGCTGACTGGAAATTATTTTATACATATTATTCCCCCACTCCCTTACACTATAATGTATTACAACAAACTAGTTTTTTGAAACTTCACATTTGAAACTAGCAGATTTTTATTGCATAAGCCGGAGCTACATATTTCAAATATTTCTTCAAAATTGCTCTGGAAGATGCAAAGGGAAAAAGGTACAGGTATATTCAAGGTATTTCACCAAATCTGAAGCAAGACTGTCTTTAAGAACTTTCTTGCCTAAACGCACAAAATCTCCCTGCTGACATTCTCTATAATTTAAAGGATAACTATTACCATATCAGTTCCACCTGTTAAGTAGATATGCACAATGGATGCTGTACTCAGATGACTTAGTGGCAAGAGTTCCAAGAAAGATATGCATCATCTAAGGTCCCTACCTGCATGAAACAAAGGAACTGGAGAGAGGCAGAAGCACTTTATTATTAAGTGAGTTTCTACTTACCATTATCAGGAACTGGTTCCATGTCCCATGGGCTAAGCTTTTCAATTTCACCGTTGTCCCATCTGATTCACCAAGGTAAAAAAAAAACACAGTAATAATTTAAAGTTATCTTGACTCAGAAGTACTCCCTCCAAGCATATTTAAATCAGTGCTATTTTTAGGTATTAATAAAATATAAATATACTGTATAAACATGCATATAAACAAAAGCATTAGCTAGCAACCAGCTGTCACAGTGTGAAAAGAAAACATTCTTCATAATGAATTTCAAATTAAAATTGTGCTCCTGATTTTGGCTATATGCAACTTACTCAATATAAAAATCAATTTTACAAAGCCTGTAACAAGAAGCTGCAGAAGAAAAATAAGCCATACACTTGGAAAAGTGAGATAACAACATCAAGGGAAAGATAGGAGAAAAAACACACAGGAGAGGATTTTTTTGCTAACCACAACACTAGTTGTGCAAGTCCAGGGAACGTTTCAGAGAAAGGAAGGACAGTAAGTGAGGTATTTGGTATATTAACACTTCATTTTATAAGGCATACCACACTGAGACAAAGAAAAGAGTAAATATAAAATGAAGAAACTGAAGTTAAGAAAGGACCAAGACAAAGCAAAGGCAAACACAGTTGATGATCTTGATAGTGTATCTGTATATTCACTCTGATACTTAACTATTAGCTATGAATATCATTTTGAGATCTCTCCAAATACTACCACATTTAGGCAGATTTTTACATGCTTTTAACAACACAAAAAATACCAATAAATTTTGTTACTTCAAAAATAAGAAATGCCCAGCTGGATCAGCTCAACACACTACTGGTCCAGCTAGACCAGTAATATTTGTCTTTGAAACTATTATTGGGCGATGCTATTTATGGAGACCATATGATCCTGGTACAAGTCCATTCTACTTGTACTTCCAGCATTCATGATGATTGTATTCCTCTAGGCACATTTGTGAATGCATCCCAACCTATCTCCTTTAGTATATGTCCGTTTATTTTCGTCTAACACCTTTTTGAACCTGCTAATACTGTTTCCACGGCCTCCTGCGTAAAAGTATTTTCAAAGTTCACTACCCCCAATGTTAAAAAAGTGAAACCCGAATTTTTTTAAACAAATCCTTTACAGATTTCAACACACACCTCTAGTTCTGTCATTACAGAATGTGGTGAATAATAATTCTCTATTCACCTTGCCTGTCATCTTTACGATTTTGTGAACTACAAACGCGTCCCTTACACCCTTCTCTTCCATCTGAAGAGTCACTTTTTTTTAGTCTTAACCCACAAAGCACGTGGTACGTATTCTTTACCATTTCAGTTGCCCTTCTCTTTCTCAAAGTCACTGCATCTTCCTTTAGATGCTGAGACCCAAAACGCATCAAATGACCACCACGCCACAGCGCAAGAAAGCAGTGAGCAATACTGCCTTGTCCTTAACGTCCTTTCTCACGGTGGCCAACACCTGGTTTGTTTTTGTAGCTGCCACTGCACACACAGCTGATGTTCTGAGAACTATCAATGACTACCTCAACATTCGTCTTCAGCTGAATTTACGAATGAGCTCAATGTCATACAAGCATAGATAAGACCATTGTTCGTTCAGATGTCCTACCTAACATACATCTGCACTGTCTTCAGCTGAATTTACGAATAAGCTCGACGTCATACAAGCATAGGTAAGACCATTGTTTGTTCAGATGTCCTACCTAACATACATCTGCACTGAAAATTACCTGGCACTTTTTTACCCAGGCAGTTTTACGAGGTCCTTCTGGAAGCCTTCACCTTTAGGGTGATATTTGATTACTACCTGAAATGACTTGCAGTATTTATAGACCTTGGGTATTTCGCTGTGCATGCCCTCCAAGAGGCTTAGAAAGACACTTGAGTAAAGCTGGTCCCAGCACCAATTCCTAGCAGAGCCCACTACTCCAGTCTGAAATAAGATTGTTAAGAACGACTCTTTTGCACCCTATCCTTTAACCAATTTTCAACTCACAGAAGCATGTGCTCTAATCTTATATCACCTTAGTTTCTTTAACGTCTCTTGAAGAGATATCCTGCCAAGGGCTTCTTAAAAAAAAATATCCAATTATATGCTGTCCACTTTATTCATACACTTACTGACAAAGTCACAGAACTTCAAAAGGAGTAGAGAGGCACAACTTCCCTGTACAGATGCAGCACTGGCTCTTTCCTACAGCTGGGTTTATCCTTATGCTGAATAGTATTATCCTTTATTATAGGCACATACCAGAAACTGAAGTCAAATCTATCAGTCTACAGTTCACCAACTTTCTTCTAGAGCCTCTTCTGTTGGCAGGAGTTACAACAGAAATCTGTCAGTCCTCTAGTGCAGCGTCCAACTCTTGGACAGTTTCTCTAGAGCCTCTTCTGATGGCAGGAGTTACAACAGAAATCTGTCAGTCGTCTAGTGCAGCGTCCAACTCTTGGACAGTTTGCAACTTTGCCAAGAATTTCATATCAGAGTTCTTCAAATGCCTAGATGAATGCCATTTACTTCTTATGACTTAATTAACTTTGATATTTGGTGTAATACCTCCTCTGTATTTATTTCAAACAAACTGAAAATTGAGATGATCAAGCTCATAATATTTTATAACAAACTCTCCTCAGGAAAGAGCACCTCTCCATTATTTTGGACTAACCATTGACTTAGCAAAACCTGGATCCGTTCACGTTCAGTCTGTTTGATGTTTATGAACTAACAGAGCTCTGAAGGCTCTGAAGGTTCACCTGTCAAGTTCTTCTCAGTTAATGTACAATACTTCAGAATTTGTTAGTATTCATAAATGTATATACTACTTCATAATATTGCAGAAAAGACTTTTAGCAATAGTTTAGTACAGCTTAAGCACCATTTAGTTCCGCTTAAGCTCCATTCATCCAGGTAATGCAACTTAGTAACATATAAAGCCGCGTCTACAGAAATACCTGTTTTCATCTGGCCAATAAAATAACAAAACACTGAATTTATACATCTTCTATTTATTTATTATCTCTACAACAGTGATGGTGATAATTTGAGATGATTCCTAAGTGTGTGACAACCTGGTTACGGATAAGACTTTCAACTAAGTTATGCAGCAATTACTCCCCTTTGTGTCACTCAAACGTGGTTTCCCACACTCTCCATCACTGATTGTTTTGAAGTCAACTTTCAAAGGTTGTTTCTGGTATAAAATAAAAAGCACTTCTGTTCCAAATTCTTTTTGTCTCAGGAGTAGTGAAGAACACCTGCAGATGCTCAAAACTCAGCTAGATTAGGAAAATTCTACCACCTAAAAAAGAACCATAATCCAAATCCCGAGTGAGGAAGACAGCATACTGCAGTTTTTCCAAGACAGTCACAAACATCTGTGTTTATTTTCTCCCATTTAAACAAATGTAAAATGAAGTGTATTTAAAAATCTTTTTGCATCCAACATACAAAGCATGACTGCAAATGCATCCAACATACAAAGCATGACTGAGCTTGGATGAGGTGACCCTTGAATATTAACCGCTTTCTTGGGCCCCTCTTCCTGCCAGGGCTTCATCCTATGGTACTCTACCAAGCAAATCTCTGAAGAGGCAAAAGTCTGCTCTCCTGAAGACCAGGGAAGTGACCTTGCTGTGCGCCCTCCTCACCACACTAAGGATCTTGAACTCCAATATCCTGATTCTGAACACTGAGGTCCAGAGTTATATTTGTTCACCTTTCTTCTCCTTTGTGTGAAGGACCTCTTTGTCACTATCAAGGAAGGTGCACAGGAACACTAATGTCAAACCACCATGAAGTCATTTTTCAGAACACGCCATAGTAATGAAGGTAAGGGTCCAACTACCTCGTTACCAGTTTGACTCAGATGTCCCTGGCCTTTCCTGTTAAAGCAGTTAATTTTTTCTACTC